TAAAATATTGAGTAAGAGTCAAATGTTTGTAGCAGAAATTTGGTACAAGTGATCGTCAGAAAGAGTTAATGATTTGCCTCTAATATTAAGATTTAAATAAACTTTGTAAAAATAATTTTGTTAATAATTTATAAAATAAGTAAATTAGTTAACAAAAAAATATTAAACTATATAATTAGATAATATGCTTTAAAATAAATAATAGCTTAATAGATATATAAAAAGAAAAACTAAATATTAAATAAATAGTACTTAAATATACAAAACCAAATACTATTTATTTAATAAAGTATAAAAATCAAAAAGTTTAAATAAATAATTTTTTAGTAAATTACAAGTATATATAACAATTAGTATAAAATCTTTAGATGAACTACTTAAATAAATAATCAAAAGTTATATATATATATATAACTAGTTGTATGCTTATTTTTATACAAGTTATATGTAATTAGTATTGAACTGACCAGACTAATTTAACTATTTGACCAGATCAGTTTAATCAATAACCAGTTTGATTAAATATTTTTAATATTGATCAAGTTGATTAAGTAATTTAATTATAAAAAAAATCAACCAATTAGGCCAATTTAACTATAATCAAATTTGCTTAATTGGTCTAATTTGCTAATTTTATTTATATTGTTAGACCATTTGACCAATTTGACCAGACCAGTTTGACCAATAACCCTTTAACCAATAACTAGCAAATTTGTAGTCAACCACTAATTTGACCAACACTGTATATAATGTATAATTAAAAAAACACAATAAAAATAATAACTACTGTAAACATCAACCTTAATAACAAAAAAAAAAATAATAAATTTGTTGTAATAAGTTTTACAATTTTTAATTAATAGATATGATTTGTTAACTTCTAAACAAATATACATAATAACCAGTTTTTGTATTAGTTATCAGTTTTGAAATACTAATTATTACTTATAATCAGTTATAAAACAGACATGGTAACTTAATTTTTTATCAGTTATTATAGGTTATCAGTTTTAGAAGGTTTGACTGTTGCTTATTGATGTAGAATACTATATTGTTTTTAATGGTTATGATCTGTGTAACAAATTGTTTCTAAATTTTTCGTGTACCTGCCCTTTGAAACATCATAGTCGCGACTATAAAAATTCGCGTTTGATATAACTAAAAACATCCTTTCGTAATAATCTATTTTACTCACCAAATGGAGAATCAGCATTTATCGCCATTTGTAGTAATTCCAGCCAGAAATCTATCAATCTCACTCGACAACGACGACGGAACTTCAAGTCCTGAGCCACCAGCTCGCCAGCTAAGGAAAAGACTTCCAATTCAACAGGCGCCGTATTCTATAGAGAGAATTCGAGCGAGAAAGGCAGGTATACCTACTGAAGTAGATTCTAAAGTCCTAAGGTTAGAAAGGGAGCAAGCTTTCAATGAAAGATATAATTATGAAGAACCAGACGATGAGTTCGTTGTACATGATTCAGGCGAAAGTCCTTTCGGTAATACTTTTGACGAGCCTGAAATGGATGAGGAAATTTTAAATCATGAGTCTCCAGAATCTGAGAGTTCAAGCGTTGAAAGCTTTAATGAAACAGATAATCACTCTGCGCCTTCTTTCTTCAAAAGATATACGCCCCTATACTCAAATCATGAGCCTTCAGAATCTGACGGTTCAAGTGTTGAAAGCTTTAATGAAATAGATAATCATTCTATACAATCTATTTCTTCACCACCTATTACGCGATGCTTACACGAAAATAAGAAGGACACACCATTCGATAGATTGCTAAGGACTAATTTACAATGGGCAAAGGAAACGCCAGTTCCATCTATCGACGATCCTTTATTCAAAAAATATACGCCGCTGTATATAGAGCTATTTAATCAATTAACATTCGCTGTTTCATTCAATCAATCGTGGCCATTGGATGCAGAATTCATAGTGGCAAAGTTAATCCGTCGATTTAAGAATTGGGAGTCGCCACATAACTCCAATATCGAAGAACCTTACAAGATTTTATGTGTTCTAGTAAAAAACTTTCCAAAAGGGAGGATCCCATCAATACCTGAAATTGTAGATGTCTTTTATATTTTGACTAAAAGACTTGTTCAGAAGATAAAACCGGAAACACCAAGAATATATGTGAAGGAGTTTCAGACCAAAAACTTTGAATATATAAATGAATTATTTCGAAACCTTGACAACAAAAATATCTCATATTATCAAGAAGCACACGAAAAGATGTGTCTTATTCTAGAGGAATTCATGAATACACTTTCACCGCGCGATGATACCGAAATGTTATTAAATGCATTAAATGTGTTTGAAAAATCACTTTCACGGTTGAATAAGCTAACAAACAATACAAAAGTAAGTTTTATTATGAATGATTGCTTTTATTTGCGTGAATTTTGATTAAAATATTTTTTCTTTAAATATTAGATTGAATTAGCAAAAATTCACCGCAATTTAGTTGCCAAATTCGATGCTTCCGATAAAGATGGTAAGAATAAATAATTTATCATGTTTTTACAAATGTATGATCTTATACAAAAGTGATTCTTAAGATTTTTTTTTTATTAAGCATTTCAATTGAGAATTAAAATCAAACAATGTTTAAAGGCAATGAAAACAATGATAAAATCACATGAAACCAGCATGTAAATTTCAGTCATATTTATATATCTATTTTTAAAGAAAAATGTGTTTATCACCGGTTATGACAGTTTCTTGAATAACTATCAAAAACAAATGCATGTATACATTAAAAAAAAATTTTTTTTGTTAGAAAACAACGATAAAAGGTGATTTTAATGTATAGTTGAAAATTTTGGGCACGTTTTTGATTTTTTGACTTAAATGCAAACAGCTCAAAAATTATGTATTTTTTATATAATCAAGCTCTTCTATAGTTTCTTTATAGTCACAAAATCAATATAATCATATAGTCGACTCTCTTTATTCCGAACAGTCCGTTCTTATGAGTTTTCAAAGAGTTACTATGTTGCCCGATTTTTGGAATTTTGTATTAGGGTTTGTTTTTTATAAATTTCAAGATTATATAACTTTTAATCTAAATGCTTTTTTAATAGTTAATTTTTCATAAATGCATATTATTGGGACTGAATTTTGAGGGTTTGCATTTAAAAAACAATAATAAAAATTGTATTTATGGGAGTTTAGTGTATATTTGGGTTAGAAAATTAATATGTATTTAAAGAGGTCATGCATTTAGAAAAAATGCATTTAGGGAATGCTAATTATATTATTTATATAAACAAATGTTTTGAAGTTTTATATTGAGTTTTTTTAAGCATTTATTAAAATTTTAGATTATTCAGATTTGAATTTGAAAAAGTTAATTATTTTTATTTTTTTAAAAAAAAAGAAGGTATATGTAATTATTTTTTATATGATTTGTGGTATATTTATACTTAGCCAAATTCTAAACTATTATAGTTTGGGTTTGTTTGTATCCAAATCTCAAACCAAGTAATTAATTAATTAGTGGCGCAGCAACGTAAAGTCAATCATCTATTGATTAGGGCTAGGATTGGGTGATCTAATATGATTGGGTGAATCAGGCGTGTGACACTATGTCGGGAAGTATAATGCAGATAGTAATAGAGCTTATTATTAATTGTGTATAAAATATATATCAAATTTGTAGTCAAATACAGTTAAATGTTATATCATATATAAATAAGAAAAGAGAATTAGTAAGTTAAACCAATATCTTTCTTGTTCTAATTTGAAATAAAATAATAAATACACTTATCTTTGTAATTCAACTTTTGTTTGATTACTAAGATATTGAAAGTGAATTATGCTTAGTAGTTATAGTCTTATAAAGAAAGTTTTTTTTGAATAACTTGCAAAATTTTCAAATTATACAAACTGTTGTAATATTAGCTTATACATTTTTCTAAAAACATATATATTGATATTTTTTTTTTTGCTTTTGTTAAAGTTATTGTTATCAGAGTTACTGCCTTTATTATGTTTTAATTATAGTTATATAACTTGTTAAGATGAATATACAATTATTTATATATGCAATTTTTGGTTACTTATTTAAGTTGTCTACTTACAGGTTCTATATTAGTTGTTATACATATCTGTAATCTGCTAGAAGATTATCTAATTAAATATTCTAATTTTTATACTTTATCTAACATATAATATACAAGTTCTTATACATCTAAGTATTGTCTAATCTAATTTTGATTTCTTTTTTTGTATATTTATCAAATTATTATATATTTTAAAATACATTACTTAATTATAAAACTCAAAAAATTTCTTTGTTAACTAATATATCTACTTTTTATAAAACATTAACAAGGTTCACTTTTGTAAAATTTATCTAGATCTTAATATTAACTTTATAGTATATGGAGTGGAGTCAATAGAAATAGGACAAATTTATCTAATAGATTTGTCCCATTTCTATTGACTTCACCCCATATTTCTAGTATTTATAATATATTTCTGTTTTATTATCTAATTTTAAATCCAAATAGTCTAATAGAATTATGGTTTGTTTCTTGTATACAGAGTTTAGTTTAATATTTTTTTTTAATTCAAAACTTTTAATAGTCTAATTAGCAGTATTTTTTATTTAAAGATTTTTAGTTATTTGATTTTTTTACATTGGTATTTGTTTTTTAGATTTAGTCTTTACATAGTACTGTTAAAGATTTATGTTACCTTTTTATTTAGGTTTTTTTAAGTAGATTTTGGTTTTCTTCAATTCTGCAAATTTATACAATTACAATAACTTATTTTAGATTTGCATTATCTAGTATTAGTTTATATTCTTTTGTATAACTAAAATTATACAAATGTTTTTAACTTGCTAGTTATATTAATGTAATTATAATTACAAATATTTTATTCTAACTAATAGATAGAATATTATTACTATAATGCAAGTATATTTTTTAAATTTTATCTTTAGTAAATTTTGAATTTACAATTTGCTATTTGAAAGATTAACAACTTAACCATTTTACTAAGTCATTACATCTTTTATATTAATATTTTAAATATTTTTTTAAATTAATTTTAATAAATATTAAAGTTTTAAATAAATATTATATTAAGATCTTTTTTAAACTTATAGATAATAACAAACATCAGTATAATTTAAATTCTTTTAGATTATAACAAATAATTTAAAAAAAAATAAATTATACAAATTTAATAAATTATTTAAAAGAATAACATAATAATTTTAAGTTAATTTACTAACAATATATTGAAAAAATTACTTTTTTCATTAATATATTTAACTAATTTTTTTTTAAGCAGTTATATTAGTATTTTATTAAAATTCTTTTGCAATTATATAAAAGTACTTAACAACTAAATTTAGCAATATCTGATTACTCTAATAATACTTAAATACAACATGTTATATTACTTTAAATAAAAGTAGCTTACTTTTTTTTTTTTTTTGCTTTCACTAAGACTATTAGTTATTGGTAGCTACTGCCTTTATTGTGAATTCAATTATGATTACATAACTTGTACAAGGTTACCCTTATATTATATTAGCAGATAGTGCACTAAGCTCCTATATACCTAATTAGATGCTGTCTAACCTAACCTTGACTTCTCTGTCTGTATGTTTGTCAAGCCATTACACATTTCAGAATACATTACCTGACTATAGGGTTCCAGAAGGCCCCTCTGCTAACTAACTACCTATATTTAATCTTTGCTAACAGGGCTTGCCCTTGTAAAGTTTACTCAAATCTCAGTACTGACTTCATAGCATATCCTTAGTACTTATAGTATATCCTACTTCTGAACCAGACTCCTAATCCAGATAGCCTGATAGAACTGTGACCTGTTCCTGGTACCCTAGGGTTTGCTTCTTAAGGTCCTTTTCCTCTAGTTCAAGACTTCTGGCAGTGGTACTCCTCATCTAAGATTCTTGCCTGTCTGATTTCTTTCACATTGGTATCTGTTTCCTAGGTCTAGCCTTTATAGTAATACTGTTAAAGATCTGTACTACCTCTTTACTTAGGTCTTCTCAAGTGGGCTTCAGTTTTCCCAGTTCACAGATTTACATGACTATGAGGACTTATCTTGTGTTTGCACTGTTTGATGCCAGTTTGTATTCCTTTGTGTAACTTCAACTTTGCACAGATGCCCTATGACCTGTCAGTTATCTGGTGTGACTATGTTACAGGTACTAATCCTAACTGATTAATGGATTGCCATTGCTGTAGTACTGTACACAAGGACTTATCTTGGGTTTGCACTATCTAATGCTGGTTTGCATTCCTCAGAGTAACTTAAACATTGCACAGATGCCTGTAGTACTGATATACATAGGTGGTTTTCCAAATTTTCACCATCGGTGGGTTTTGAACTTTCAATCTACCACTTGGAGGATTGACAACTTATTCACTTCACTAAGTTGCCACACCCTAGCTTACTTTTTTAATTATTTAATTCTATAATAAAACAGTCTTCTTTTTTTATAACAAGTTTCAATATTGTTTTTCTAGTTTTTTTCTTTTATTTTACTTAGTTTTTTTTTTTTATCTTTTCTAAAATATTTTTTCTTTTGCTTAAGTTTTTCTTTTTTTTATATATTTTTTTATTTTGTATATTATTTTTTTATTTTTTAATTTTTTTATATTATATTTTTTAAATTGTTTATAAATATATTTTAAATTATTTTTGATATTATATTTGCAAATTGTTATTTTGGTTTTATATTTAAAAGTTGTATTAATCTGTTTTATATTTTTTTAAAATAAGATTTTTATTAATGTTTGTCTTATTTTTATTTCTTCTACTTTTACTTTTTTTTTTTTTTTGCTTTTACTAAGGCTATTAGTTATTAGCTTTACTACTTTTATTGTAATTTTAATTATGATTATATAACTTGTACAAGGTTACTTCTATCCTACACTTAACAAATAGTATACAAGTTCATATATACTGAAGTATTATCTAATCTAACTCTGATCTTCTTGTTTATATATCTGTCAAGTTGTTATATATTTTAGAATATAGCATCTGATTGTAGAGTTCCAAAAGGTTCTTCTGCTAACTAACTATTTGTATTTAATTCTTGTTAACAGAGCTTGCTCTTGCAAAGTTTACTCAAACCTTAGTACCAACTTTATAGCATATCTTTAGTACTTAATTATATCTTGCTTTAGTTTTCAGACTCTTAATTCAGATAGTCTAAAAGGACTATAATATGTTTCTAATATTTTAAGGGTCTGCCTTCTTAAGGTCTTTTTTCTCTAATTTGAGACTTCTAGCAGTCTGATTAGTAATATCTCTCATTTAAGGTTCTTGTTTGCCTAATTCTTTTTATATTAATATTTATTTTCTAGATCTAGTCTTTACAGTAGTATTGTTAAAGATTTGTATTACCTTTTTGTTTAGGTCTTTTTAGTAGACTTTGGCTTTTCAGTTTTACAGATTTATATAGTTATAAGAACTTATCTTAGGTTTGCACTATCTGATGTCAGTTTGCATTTCTTTGTGTATTTTTAATATTATACAGATGTCTTATAACTTGCCAGTCAGCTAGTATTACTATAGTTACAGGTATTCTATTTTAACTGATTAACAGAATGTTATTACTATAATACTGTCTATGTATTACATAGGTGATTATTCAAATTTTTGTCATTAGTAAGTTTTGAACTCACTACTTATTACTTGGAAGGTTAACAACTTATTTACTTCACTAAGTTACTACATTTAATTAGTATTGCAATTTCTCTATTCTTTTTTATACTTATATATCTGACTTTACTTTGGCTTCTAACTTTCTTTTATAGTAATAACTAATTATGCTTTTCCTTTTCTTTATTTGGTTTCAATTATTGAACAGTTGATATAAATTTTTATTTTAAACTAACTTTAAAATCTAAAATATCTTTGATGAATTGTCTTGTTAACCCTTTTATAAATGTTTTTTTTTAACAAAATTATATATTTGAACTTGGTAATAGTATATTTATAATTTTATTTTTATTCTCTATGCTACTTTCTTTTTTTGCTAATTTATCTACTCTAGTATTTTATTTATTATTACAATGTTTTTTTTACTTTAACTAATTCTAACTTTACTTCTTTTTTTAGTTTTTTTTCTTTTATTAAGACCTAATATTGCTGTTATGCTATCTGTATAGATCTTAATCTTTTTTTTTTTTGGTATTATTAAAAGCACTAACAGGGTATGGGTCCTATAGCTTAGCAGTTAAGCTCCTATATCTTCTACAGTCAAGGTTAATGGTTCAAGTCTAGCTGGAGGCAAAATTAAAAGATTTTAGCTTCTATAACCTAATAAGGAGCCTGTAATTGAGCATGAAGCCCTGTGGTTAAAAGTCCAAATGCAGTACAATAATGGAAATAGAAATTCCTAGAAGGAGACCCAATCATGGAGTGGAGGCACTATGTATAACAAGCAGTTGTTACAGAAGGTTACAGATATAGAAAGATTATGCATATAAGTTCTTTAGGCTAGAGCAACACCAACATCCTTATACCTTCCAATATAGGCAGTACCAACATTCTTGCAT